GGGTTTGTGAAATCTACAGAATAGCTTAAATCTTAAATTGTAATCTTTTAAAAAAGTATTCTTATGAACAGATAGTTGAAAATAATTAGGGACGTGGCTTGGTCTTTAAAATCTAGCCAGGATGCACAAATGCCACCAGTTCTGGTCAGTGGCCAGTGAATAGAGGGGTCACTGAGAATGTAGAAGTTAGCTGCCAAGAGAATCAACCATGTACAGAATGACCAAGACACATCACCAAGCTGATTCAAACAATTATGTAGAGCTGGATTGGAAACAAGATTGGAATAATCAGAGAAACTTGCTGTGTACATGTATGTTTGGAGCTAGAAAATATGCACTTGGTTATCTTTCCATAGGCATCTGGTTGGCCACTACATGAACATAATGCTTTACTAGACAGGTCTTTGGTCTGATACGTTCTGATATAGTGTATTAATCAAACCAATTAATTAATTTTATGCCTCAGTTAACAAGACAGTTGTGATTAATCAGATGCTTCTTAATCCCAAATGTTTCGTCAGCCCTTCCTCAAACTGGCGCCCTTAACATGCTCATGGCTACACAGCCTGGAGAATGATGTATTACTGTAATATGCCTTGGAAGGCACCAGGTTTAGTGATACAGCATGCATTAAAACAGAGAGCCCCATCCCAGCCTTTAGCCTACATGGCTTCAAAACCTTGCAGCCTCAAAAAAGGTCAAAACAGAAAACCCTACAACTACCCCACTAAAGAAGCAGCAGGAGGGAAGAGCAGTGGGGAAGAGGAGCAGCATTGCAAGCTGCACACACTGCTCTGAGTGGACAGCTTCAAAAGGTTCACTGTTATTTGGGGGTGTGGGGCTGCTGCCAATGGTAAAACCCATTGGCAAACAACAGGACCGGGCTTGAGCTGTTTGTCTGCTTCTTTGATCAGCTGGCTACTGTTGAAAAGAAGGTGCTAGACACTGTCAGAATTCTTGCTGTCTTATCTACCAATTTCATTGCTCAATTAATTACATTGATCAGTTAATTATAAAATGAATGAACTAAAATTTCTTCAACTGTGCAACAGCTTTACTTCAGATTAATCACATCATTTAAAAAAAAAGTTAAATCTTCATCTTTTCCTTTGCTGCATCATGTAACCTATAATGCATCTGTTACTGTTCTTACGTATTTGATTATGGGTTTTCCATGTTGCATTATTTTACTATGTTTCATTATCTGTACCCTGGTTTGGGATTATTTTTTAAAGAAAAGCAGGCACCAAATTTCATAAATAACCTTCTTGTTATGATCCATCTTTCAGTGAAGTAAGTTCAGATACCAACAGAGCCAATTCATCTATTTTGGTAAAATTAGAGGTTACAGTGATTCTATTTTTACTCCCTTGAATAACAGGTTACAAGCACAGTCCCTTCAGTGTTGCAAAAATTATATGGATTGTATTTTAGAAGAATGAGATGATTCCTAGTTTTTTTATCTTCTCAACATAACATATATATAAGGAAAGGTTATTTACTCACACAGATGAGCTAAATTTAATAACTTTAGACAGTTGTCCATTCTTGATCCTGGTAACATATGCCCAAGTCCTGTTACAACCAGTGAAAGTTAAATTGGGGGGAGGGGCTTGCACGGGTGCAAAAAACTGAGTTTTTTAGCACTTCACTTCAGGTCATATAACAACAAATTAGAATCTTGCATAGGCTGTCAAGGCTTGAACAGGCTTATCATTCTTACATAGTGTCATCTGATACATAGCTACTGAGATAGTATCCTACTAAGTTCAACTGTGTTTGCTACCATGATAGAAGCCTTAGGTGTTCATTAGCCTCTGTAACTAGCAACACACAAAGCACTATGTCAGCAAATCCCAGTGTAAAGCACATTTACTAGAGAATACAATATTAGAAAGAACCACTTCTGAGATTATCTTGATGTTGTGAGCCGCCCCGAGGCTTTGTTGCAATGGGGGCGGCATAGAAATGCTTTAAATAAATAAATAAACATGAGTCACCACATTTCCAAAACCTCTGTGTA